TTTAGATCTTATGCCCATTTTTGGATTGGGTTGTTTGTTTTTTCACTATTAAATTGTATGAAATGTTTATATATTCTGGAAATTAAGTCCTTGTCGGTCTCATCTTTTGCAGATACTTTATCCTATTTCATAGGTTGTCTTTTTGTTTTGCTTATGGTGTCCTTTGCTGTGCAAAAGCTTATAGATTTAATTAGGTCCCATTTGTTTATTTTTCCTTTTATTGCTGTTGCCTGGGTAGACTGTCCTAGAAGAAGATTGCCAAGATTTATGTCAGATCATGTTTTGCCTATGTTTTCTTGTAAGAGTTTTATAATATCTTGTCTTATGTTTAAGTCTTTAAGCCATTTTGAGTTTATTTTTTTATATGGTGTGAGGGAGTGTTCTAACTTCACTGAGTTAAATGCTGCTGTCCAGTTTTCCCACCTCCACTTGCTGAAGAGACTGTCTTTACTCCATTGTATATTTTTGCCTCCTTTGTCAAAGATTAATTGACCAAAAGTCTGTGGGTTTATTTCTGGGCTCTCTGTTCTATTCCATTGATTTGTATGTCTGTTTTTGTGCTAATACTGTGCTGTTTTGATTACTATGGCTCTGTAGTATTGTCTGAAGTCTGGGAGAGTTATTCCTCCAGCTTTGTTCTTTTTCTTCAGTGTCACTTTGGCAATTCTGGGTCTTTGGTGATTCCATATGAATTTTAGGATTCTTTGTTCTAGTTCTGTGAAAAGTGTCCTGGGTAATTTGATAGACATTGCATTAATTCGGTAGATTGTTTTGGGTAGTATGGCCATTTTAACAATATTAATTCTTCCAGTCTAAGAACATAGGATATCTTTCCATTTCTTGAAGTCATCTTTAATTTCCTTAATCAATGTTTTGTAGTTCTCTGCATATGTCTTTCACTTCCCTGGTCAGGTTTATTCCTAAATATTTTGTATTTTTGGATGCAATTTTAAAAGAGATTGCTTTTTTCTTTTCTGTTCTGATATTTCATTATTAGTGTTAAGAAATGCATATGATTTCTGTATGTTAATTTTGTATCCTGCTGCCTTATTGAATTCTTTTATCAGCTCTAGTAGTTTTTGTGTGGAGCCTTTGATTCTGATCCTATAGTTGGGTTTGTCTAATGTCTAATAGAGTTTGGTTGTAGTATTTCATCTTGCCAGTAGATGGTGCTTTATGAATATACCAAATTTACAGTATAGTCTAGAATAGTATCTTACATTATTATGTGCTGTCCTATATTACAGTAAGATATATTATGATCCTTCTTGAAAATTATCTATTTTGAGACTTCAAATTGCAAGTCATTACCCTTCATGTCATTTTAGTAAACTGCACAGTTTACAAAATATGTTTTACTTAACATTAGGCATAATTAGTGTTATTTTCACTTTAAATATGATTGTTTTATTAAACTTTTTAAGGAGTTTTGAAAATAACTTTGGCTTGAATTTTCCACTATAAATAAAATAGTCAACACAAATGCTTTCAGGTACAGTAAATAATTTTGTAATTTTGAGAATATCAATTTGATCCAACCTTTAAAAATATTTCATGATTTAAAAGCCAGGAGAGTTAAGTGAACAAATATGAGTATATTCTGCAGCATTTTATTTAACAGCTGCCATTTTTATATGGATAAAGTCTTTAAAATTTTATACACTAATATAAATTTAACATTAAAAATGAAAGTACACTAAATATGTTTTCACTTATGTGTGTTGGAAGGCATATCGTCTTTTTTGGTGTATCTTGTTATTGTAAAAGATATGTATTACAGAAACAGAGTTTAAGAATACAAATCTATTCTTACTGTCCTTTAAATAAGCCTTACACCTCATATCATTGCTGTGAAGGTCTTTGATGATTGAAGATGTTGCTTTAAAATTTCTTAGGCTGAGAATTTGCCTTCTGTACTACATGGAACTTTCGTTCTGAGTGCTTGTGCAGCCCCGCCTGTTTTCTGAGGAACTGTAGAGCTCTCTCTGGATCCCAGATGTCCCCTGATCAAGATTAGATGCTACTGCATGTAAGCAGGGTATAAATCAGATTCTAGTGCAATGACTTCTTTCTGCTCTATCTTGTTTGTCTACTTTTCTCTGCTTTTTCCGGCTGAGTTTACTGACTCACCAAGAATCAGATTGACAGAAGTAGCAGGCGGGTTGGCAGCCTCAGACCTGCCATGTGACTGGGCATAGAACTGAGGCCCTGGCTGCAGAGCAGGGGTCTGTTAGCCTTGTTGTAGCTTCTGTTTCCCTGGCTGTGCCCTCTTTTCACTGTCCCTGCCTTGAGTTCTTCCATGGTCACTGAGATCAGGGGAGCCATTTATCAGTCCTCCTCTCTTTACTCACTGAATTATAATCTATAGTTTGGGTATTGCAGTAGCGACTGTCCACATGTTTGTTCTTTTACTCACTGCCGTACCAGTTCAGGGTCCTCTGCTTTGACTTTGACGCTGCAGTGGCCTTAATTAATTAATTACTTAATTAATTACATAGTATCTTGGCTTCCTGCAGAAGGGCCTTTGCTTGTCTGAAGTTTAGTTTTGTGAGCTCTACCTTTAATGAGGTTAGAACAGAAACATGACCTCACCAAAACCATTTCTGAATCTTCAGTAAAACAATGTGATGCTCTTGTTCACTGGGATGATCAACAGTTCTAATGTGACGCTCTGGCAGTCTGTTCCTCTTAGGGCTTTGTACGTTGTTTCTGATAATAAACTAAGCACCTACTTTTAGTATTGCCTATCTGATTTCTCTGATTTAGAGTCTTGGAGGGAAAGAACTAAATTGAATATTCATTTGTAGTATTTCTTTAGTCAGTTGTTTGCTAAAGTTAGGCTCTGCTCCCTTATTTTTTTTTAATAAAACTTACAAAACTAATAAAACTTACAGTATTTTTTATTGTGGTCCTCCTATTATGTGAGAGTTTTGCTGTGAGCTAAACATTTTTCAAAACCATATACCTTCTTGTCTTTCATGGTAATTAATGTTTTGTTCTATACTACATATATTTAAGTTTGAAGTAGCATTGACTACTATAAAGGAATTTTTTTAACATCAAGTTACATATTTCCAAGTCTAAATTTGTGCATAGTAGAGACAATATATACTAGGTATAATTTTTTTACAGAGTTTAAATTCATTATGTACTAAATAAATCTGCTGTATTACGTATTTAAATAGTGTGCAATCTTGTATTTTCTTTCAGTGATATGATTCTACTAGGTAACTCATGATCATTGCATCTTCAATTTACATAGGATACTATGAACAAAACTTAGGGCTGAATTATGACCTATAGTTTGGGTATTACAATAGCAACTGTCCAAATGTTTGTTCTTTTACTTGAGCTCTGTACATTTTTTTGGCTTTGACAGTTGACTTAACTGTCAATTTACCTTTTTGCAGATTCATGAGATATTTGATTGTCAAGAATGTATGAAGAAATTCATTTCAGCTAATCAGCTAAAACGTCATATGATCACCCACTCAGGTAAAATACCTATTTTTCCATTTATGTTGAAATCACATTGTCATTTCAGAAGCTCTTAGAGTGGTAATCAGTAGACTGTTTAATAATTCTAGCCTGGCCATTGACTGGCCATGTGATAGTAAGTTACTTAACCTTTCTAGACCTCAGGTTATTTCTGATGCAAAAGTGATGGGACTAAATGAAACTGAAGATCTTCAAATTTACCGTTTAATTGTTACCTACTCCTCTTTGAGCCTCAGTTTCTGTGTACTGCATCTGTGAAAAGATATCCTGCCTTTCAAAATTGCTGTGATGATTAAATGAGGTCATTTACATAGTGTGCTAGCAGAGTGTCTGACATTTAGGAGAGATTCAGCAATTACAGTTACAGTTCTGCTATTTCTAGATACTTTCACATTCTAACTAAGCTACTAATAAATGTTAGTGAGAAATTTGTAAATACATTTTGAGAATATAAGTTTTTAAAGCCATTGTTTGATTTTAAGCAAGTTTGAATAATAGGTCTGCTATACAGATTTTAAAAAATTCAGCTCTGAAAATAACTCTTGCTTTATGAGGTCTCTTTACAGAATTTAGAATGTCTATAATTTGAGGCTGTTGAAGTCAGAATGTTTCTGAATGGCCACTTCATTTGGAGGCAGGTAGAGATATTTTGGTAAATGAAAAGAAAAGATTGAAAACTGGTAGCCTTCAGATACGCTTTATTTGAAACATCTTGTTGTCAACATTACATGAATATTGCATAACTGTGGATTTTGCACAGCCACCTAAGTGTCTAGTTTCTGCTGAGAACCGGAAGCTCAGCCTGGGTGTGGTCCACTGGCCGGGCAGTGGGCAGTCCTGTCCTTCACCTCCACCGCTATTAGGTCACTCACCCTTAGCAGTCAGAGGTGTGACCCTGACTTAAACTCACACTGATCAGCAGATTTTTCATCTGGGATTAAGAGTTCTTCCTTGAATTTAAACTTCATCTTTATGTCTAAGCTACTTTATATATTCAGTTTGCAAATAGGTGAATAAAGAAAAGCTCATGCTTCTCTGGTGAAGAGGCTCACACATCTAAGGGGTGGATTGGGTAGCAGGTTTTTTCAGTTGTTTCAATCACGTTTTAGTTGACTTATCCATAAGAAGTAATACAAGGTAAGGCTGTTTCCCTTTTTATCCTTTGCCTTTATATAGATGTGAGATTGTCTCCACTCATTTTTCACAGAAAAACGACCCTATAATTGTGAGATTTGTAATAAATCTTTCAAGAGGCTTGATCAAGTGGGTGCCCACAAAGTAATACACAGTGAAGATAAGCCTTACAAATGCAAGCTTTGTGGAAAGGGATTTGCTCACAGAAATGTTTACAAGAATCACAAGAAGGTAAAAGCCTATTAATATTGTTATATACATATATATATTGCTGATTTGCTGATGTAATTACCAGCTGCTTATCTTTTAAAGAAGTTTTCGTATATCTGAGGCAAGCTGTACATGTGAAATAATTGGAGAAGATCTTACTTCTGCTTTCTAGTCACTCACTCAGCCCATAACCCCTGGGGCCTTGTTTCTGCCTTTATTCTCTATTGAAACTATCCTTGCTCATGTTACCTTTTGGGCATTCTCTTCATCTGTGATGCCATTTTAGCGACTCTGCTAGGTCTTCTGCCAATTTCTCTGGACACTTCTTTGGTCATCCTGGATGCTCTGGCTGTAGGCCTCGTCTGGGTCTTCTATGTCAGCTACATCCATGACTTCAGCTACAAACTCTGTACTCAAGAATTCGAAATGATTTGTTTTGTTAATCCCAAGCTTCAGACTCACATTTGTTACTGCTTATTTGATACAAAACTAGGCATCTTTTTGACATAATGAACTTAACATGCTCCAGATAATGTGTCACTTTTGAAAGTTTTTGTTAATTTCTGTTAATGACAAAAAGCATCTATAGTTATCCCTGTCTCTTTCTTTAGTCTTAGCCCCTTTTTAGAATTAGAAGCTAATTCTTGAAGATTCTACCTTCTATGTTGTCTCATCACCTGCACAGTTATCTGATCATTTACCATTCCAACATCTGATTATCGCTCATCTTCCATCACGTTAATACCCATCTAATTCAGCTTTTTTTTTTACATTTTTTATTGATTCATAATCATTTTACAGTGTTGTGTCAAATTCCAGTGTTCAGCACAATTTTTCAGTCATTCATGGACATATACACACTCATTGTCACATTTTTTTCTCTGTGATTTATCATAACATTTTGTGTATATTTCCCTGTGCTATACAGTGTAATCTTGTTTATCTATTCTACAATTTTGAAATCCCAGTAATTCAGCTTCTTGTTACTTATCACTTCCCACTTATCTCGCTGACTAGATAATCATCCCAAAGCACAGCTCTATCACTCTTGTACTCTTGTACTATTATAAGTAGATTTCCAGTGCTTACGTAAGTTACAGTATATATATGCCTTACCCTGTCATTCAGAGTTCTCTGCACCGTGACCTCAGCTTCCTTTTCCAGCTTTGTATCGCTCTGTTTTCTGCATGAGCCGTATTGAAGACAACTCAGCGTGACTTCCAACTTCCCTTCCCTCCTTTCTAATAGGACTTTCTTCAAGTTACAAACTCTTCATTTCCTCTATTGATTTTTGTGTGCATTTCCTACACTTTACTCAAGTTCTTGTTGCCAAATGTGTCAGTTTTATCTTATCTACTTTGTGTATAAGATATATAATATAATATATATTATAATTAATGTTTGAATTCAATTCAGAAAATCTGCAAAGATGTTCAAATTCTCAGAAATGTATGTTTAAATTTGTGATATAATAAATATTTGCGTATTGATTTTGGTTGACAAATTTTAGAATGCTGTTAAACAACATATATATGTGTGTGTGTATATATATGTATATATATAAAATGTCTTTTCAAATAACTTGTTACTTTTTATTTGCAATATTCCATTGGAACTATAGTTATTTCTGTATTTATTTGGACTTTCCAAACACATCATTTTATCTTTTTTGAAATCATTTAAGAAGCTATGATATCAATTTCAGCTGCAGTCTAAAAAGAAAAAGAGGTGGATTTTATGAAAGAATAAGCAGGGTTGGTTGACAGTGTACCAGACTGCCTCTGCCTAATTTCTTGCTGACCGCCCTTGTGTTTAACTCGAGCATTATATGTTCAGAGGCAGGACCACATTCATTACTGCTGCTTTGGAATTACATGCCTATAAAAAATTATCTGGCCAGTTTCCTGCTCAGTCTCTGGAACCCTCTTGCTCCTTTCTTTGATGAAACTGATCTACCCACATTTACGAGTTTTTCACAGTTTGGCTTATATTATATGCCATATGGGAATTTGGCACAGGATCTTTGCACCATCTCTCATACTTTCAGCCATAAATCATATGAAAGTAATAATGATGTCTTGGGAAGGACAGAAACAACGATGCCTATAATTTCCAGAGTGGAAAGCATATTCAATCCTTCTGCTGGGGACCACTGTGCTTCTCACTGTGTTATGAGCTTGGCGTGGGTTTGGTATGGTTACGTGAAAATGTCTAAAATGTTCTCTAAGACTCATGGTGGAAAAAGCGAATCGATTTTTTCTTCTGTCGTTATTCATTAATGATGTTACAAAACTAAAAAGTAACGAGATGCAAGTAAAGCAGAGAAAAACCACTAATAGTCAGACTGATTTCCCCCTGTAGCATGACCAATGTTTGTTATTTTAAATGAATTAATTATTCTTTTGGGGGTTTTGATTATGTAGCTTGTGCATTTTTATTATATGTATTTGATTTATTTTGGGATCAATTCTTTTAACATTTGGATTTGCTTGAAAAGGGACTATTTTATTGTGACCATGACAACATGGCATGACATTTTGAAGGAGTGATTTCTGTTTCTGAAACTTAATTAGTTTTTCGTCATCTTGCCAGTTTTACAGGCTCAATAGGTCCAAGTAAGTTTTCCTTTTCCCTAATCCTTTGTAGTTGTATTTTTTAGGATCTAGCTAAAACAAAGATTGTTTACCTGGATCCAGCTATATGCTTTGATTCTTTAAATCACAGTTAGACAGACATTTCAGAACTGCAGGAAAGAGAAACTACTTAATTAGTCTTCACCCCCACGTTTTGTTCCCTCTCAAATGTAATGCAGAGCAAAACTGAGATAGTGTACGGTGACCTCCTCCTGCTCTAGGCAGGGTGTCTGGATGGACTGAAGTCTTAGATCCTGGAGCCGGCACTGCCTACTTGAAGATGGAAATGAAGACAGAGAGGTTTTGTCCTGATTAGGTCATAAACAAGCCCCTGGAGGACAGAGCTGTGTCGTTCAAATTTTCTCCTGGCCCCTTCCAGGGATGAACATTAGAGGCCTCTGAGGAACTCTGGTCACAATCGTTCCTAAAATATTTCAATTGGACCTCCTATACTACTAACATCCCATCCAGTGAGTTTTAATCTGGGCCATGGCTATTTTGTGGGTCTTGAAGTAATTTACTGGGTCATGAAGAGTCATTAAAAATTAGAATGGAAAAAATAAGAATAAAGGGTCATTTAATGAAATAATACACCTGTGTGTATGTAAATCTGTGTGTGTGTGTGTGTGTGTGTGTGTGTTAGATTTAGATATAAAAATTATTTTTTTGGTAGTGATTAGTTTGAAAGAGACTGCAAATCAGACTTTGCCCGCCCAGGTGAAATTTTATTAGACCTTAAAGAAAAGGACAAATCTCTCCATAAAAACATCAGAGATTAGGTTCTAAAACCATAATATATGGCATAAATTTTACATAATAAAAAAATCTTTGACAGATTCTAAGGAAGGTGCCAAATCGTAGACTGAAAGACAGTAGCTCAGTAATTCCATCACAGCCACGTTTTCCTTCAACTTTGCATCAGAGTTTTCTTCTTCAGGTGTGCCGTGGGTGAAGTAGCAGGTGGTTCATTTAAGGTGGTGTATTATCCGGAATTACCTACTTTTGTGTCCTAGAAGCACATTCACCATGATGAGATTCTCACATTGTCGACTGAAAAGAAGTGCACAACCTAAAAGTTGAGAGTTAACTTTTATTCGGCAGACATTTTCTGAAGACGTAACCCGGGGTGGCCTCTCAGATCGCTCTGAGGGACTGCTCTGAAGAGGCAGGGGAGGAGCCAGGATATATAGGAGTTTTGCCACAAAGACCAGGTAGTCAGAACATCAAAAGATTACAGTTAATTAAAGAAAAACAGATATCTCCAGCTGAAGAATTTAGCACTTTTCTATGTATGGGAAGGTGCAAAAGTCTAGGCTCATTGAAATCATTCCTTTGATACGCACTGAGCTATCTAGGGCCAGTGTCCCCAGTGTCCTGTTCGTTCCCCTCCTGAGTTCCCTCAGGGTGCACAGCGTGGGTGGCAGCAGAGGCCAGGCTGTCTGCTTGTCTGCATCCTGAGTTCCCTCTGCCGAGGGTGGTGGTAATGGTAATGGCTGGTGACTTGATGGCCCAGCATCCTTTGTGTACTGATAAGGCTGGCAATATTTTTCATTCACAACACTAAGAGAGACATGCAGGAATCGAACCTGACAGAAGGAAACAACAGGTACAGATGTTTCTCTGAAGCTTATGTCGCTAATGGCAAATTACTTACCTTATTTAAATTACTTTCCTCAGACGGAAGGTGAGACGGCACTATACATTTTCTAACATAAGCCCCTTATTTCCTGTACTAGATAGACAGTGAGCTTTGAAGATAGATGCTGGACTTCTATTCATAGCACCTATTGACATTGTGCTTTGAATGTGGCAGATGTTTCCTGAGTGAATACAAATCTACAAGATGATCCCAAATAAAGAAGATTTAATATTCTCAGTTAAGAAGTAGTTGTAGCGTGAGAAGTGATTTCTTTAGATCTCTGTTTGCAGTATGCATTGCAGCACTCTGGCCTTTCTGTGCACTCTCTTTCTTGACTTTATGAGCATATTAGTGATCTGGTGATACACTGAAAAATCATTGTTGTATTCCTTCTGCACTGAGCTTATCAACTCAAGATATTTAAGAATTCTTTAAACCTTTAATTTGAAGACACTACACTGTTGTGATTTTCAGAACCCTTTCCTGGCTCTGAGATAAATAATTGACGTGTAGCCCACTTACTGCCAAATTGGTTACTCCCCTTTATTCTCTGACTTTAATAGAGGAACCTCCCTCCCAGCTTTTTTCCATGTCCTCCACTCCCCCAACCCACAAATAGTCACTGAAGAGCCATCAGCTAAAGACTGTACCCTGGTGTTTGCCTGAGCTGCATGCACATTGCTTGTTGCTCTTCAGAGCTTTCTTCTTCCTGGTTCCTGTGGGCACAGGGCCTTGCCTCCCAAATCCCT